GATTAGGGATATTTTTGTCCAATTTCCTGCCAAGAATAATGGCTTGGCATTTTAAAGGATTGATTGTTAGCCCATGCTTATGTGACCAATCTTTCAAAACATTTAAATTGTTGTTAAGGTTAGAAACCGCATGGTAGATGTTGTCAGTGTCTGTTTGTACGTAAAGTTGAAGGTCATCAGCATACAGATGATACGAGCAATTAATGAAATCAGTTATTGAATTAATAAAAAGAGAAAATATAAGAGAAGAGAGAATGCCGCCTTGTGGCAACCCAGCAGTCAGATCAGTCCAACCGGAGGACTGGTGTCCTACATGGACTGACTGCTGACGGCCGCGGAGATATGAGAACCACTCAATGGCTATAGGTCCAAAATTTAAATGGGAAAGGATAGAGAGAAGGATGCCGTGGTCCACTGTGTTAAAAGCATTTTAAAAGTCAACTAACACCAAAACTGTTACCTATTTATCTTCCATACCTTGAGATATGTCATCGGTTACTTTAATTAAAGCAGTAGTGGTGCTGTGACCCAAACGTTTTATGTTTGTTTATATTTTAGGACACATTATTTTTACACAACGTTCTCTAGTCCCAAACTAAGCAATGCTTGTACTATGGGAACTCGAAAACTGATAGACATACTTAAACATACTTTTCTTTTGTAAATAAATACACATTATACATATATAAACACGCAGATACTAGCAAAACACTATGCTCATCACAAATTATTTTTCCAGTAGTGGGGATCGAACCCACACCCTTTAGCGCAGTAGGCAGGTACACTATCGAGTACGCCATTCGGGTCGTCTGGCGTGGTCTGCGACCGCGGGATACCGCAGGTATACAAGAGCATCATCCGACCTGTACTTCTGTATGGTAGTGAGTGCTGGCCAGCGCTATCTCGGCACACTCAAGATCTTCACGTCACGGACATGAAAATGCTAAGACGGATGTGCGGCGGCACGCGGGCTGACCGCATACGTAATACATTCATTTGAGGCAGTCTCGGGGTCCGTGACGTAGCGGATAAGTTCCTAGAGCGACGCTTGAAATAGCCGGTCGGAAAAATATGTCGGAAGGATATGCCTTCATAAACTTGTCCCAGCAGCTAGACCGTCTGGACGCCCAATGAAGCGATGGCTGGATTTCATGAAAGAGGACATGAGAGCCAATGGACTGACCCCTGAGGATACTGAAAATCGGGCAAAGTGGAAGAGTTAGAGTAGAAAGGCAGACCCTGGCAATAGCCGGGATTAAAGTCAGGCAGAAGAAGAAGATTACAAAGCGAGCGCACGGGCACTGAGCATATCATAGTTTTTCTCTTTTAATTCTGAGCCAAACCAGTGAGTAATCACTAAAATATTTAAAAAATTTTTGCTTGCATCTGACTTACAAGTGAGAAGTTTATATTTTTACAGGCTTAAAGAATTGTGTTTGACGTAAGCCGGCAAAGGCATCCAACGAAAGCGGCCGACTCGCCAGCCAGGCCGCTCGAGGGACTAGATTCTCGGCAACATGCCTTAAATGGTATCGGTACAGTTTTACTCTGTAAGCCAATTAGCCTTACAATAACATAAAACACCTACTGCCGCCTATACACACCAAACAAATACTACATAATGGAGTCTTCGTGTAGATACACGTCCAACGACTCCATAAGTAAACGAATACGAAATTAAAGCATAGGTATATTTAGCATATACTGTGTTTATGGTATAAATTTATTTTACAGCGGGACAATATAATATATTTTAATCAAAACGGCGACGATGATACGTGGAGAATAATATTAAAGTTTTTTTTTAAAGAGAAGATGGAACACGAGCACGGTGTTTAGCTGTTTGTGAAAGGTTAACACCGGAGGGCGATGTCGAATTTACGGTCTTCTCCTGTGAAGAGTGTCAGGTCCCGGTTCTGGTTGCACAGTGCAAATCCGAGCTAGCTGAGGCAGGGTCTATCAAGCTCCGATGAAGCTTTATATATTCTACGGACTGAAAGAACAAACATCAATTAAAAAAATCAGGCTAGCTGTAAGATTCACCACTACCATTCGTTTTCTACATCATGTGACGGTTATATGTCGGTATGAGTATTTTCATTTTTATTCAAGTTGTTATACAGCGTGTCTTTACCACCGCGACAATAAATGAACACACGTCTAACGCTACTTGCCAATAATCATAAAACAAAATTAACGTTAAAAAAATCCATAATTAAAAAAATATATTTTTCAAATAATCTAATTAAGTAAAAAAGAAACAAAATTTGTAACACCTATACAACTACAACTGACTGATTCATACAGTCAGAGACTTTTTCATTCGTTGCCACAGCGCCGCATTACAAGCCTCTCCTTCTTACAGTATGTTTTATCTCTTTTAAATGCATTCAACCCATTCATATGCTTTGTGACCTTTACAAATTAACTTTATATTAAAGTTTTATATGTAAGGATGTTCTAAAATTCGATAACTCGTTTTGGAAAATTTGATAACTCGGTAAATATTGATGTTTAAAGAATGTAAATCTTTAATTCAATTTTAAAAAGTTATCCTCTATATGTGTGTTAATTTATTGTCGCAATGGTAAAGACACGCTGTATGTATGTATACAGGGAGATTTTTTGAGAAGTGCCCCAATTTACACAGGAGGTTCAGACTCGGTAGTATAATCGTTTATTGAAATAAATAACCAAGTTTTTTTTCCAAAAAAAAAATGTCATTCTATTCCCTAAAAAACAGAACGTGTTGACAATGCGGTAGTCATTCATAAATACCTAAATTTTACTGTGCCCGAACTTGTGTGCGTGTTAGTTATGAATGATCTCGCGTAAAATAAATGAGTTGCGTATAAATTCGCACTTTTTGAGATAAGTTCAAATGAATGTAATTAATTACTTACGAGTGATTTTAAATATTTATCATTTTTATATAACATTATTTATGTCTAGAATTTAATAAAAAAAAAATGGATACACTTAGAGAAGCCACCCTGTATATGTATTCTCAGGATTCTAAAGAGTTGAAAAAAATAGAACTTTGCAATAATAATAAATGAAATACTTCACGTGGAAATTAACGTGTCAAAATTGCCTAGGAGTGAAAACAGTAAATTAATTTGCAGTAGGACTACGCGATAAATTAATGCCGCATTGTTTTTGAATATTAGATGGGACCAGTGACCAGCAGAGTAAACTTTTAAAGCCGTTACCATAGTAGTTTGAACTTTAGGAGGGAAAGTTTTGTACAAAATTAATTAGTAACGAACTATCATTGACAAATTTTTGTCAATTATATGAATTGATAATAAAAAAAAGACAAAGATAACGGTTACGGTAGTCTTAAAACTATTTTACAAAAAGAAATACACAGACATACAATGCCAGACTGAAGTAGTTATCTATTGTGTGTTCAGTGTACCTGTACTTTAGTGTTCTCATTCATTAAAAAAACATTGCATCAGCGTAAATATCCGACAAGGAAAGACAACAGTCGGCCGGTAAAAGCAATAAATCGTGCAAATAGTAAACAGCCTGCACAAGCCACTTCGAGGATAAAATATCAGTTGCGGCCACAACGTTATCGGGTTGCAGTTCTACGAATTTAAAAGTTGAACTGAACAGATAAAAACAAGTGATACTTTTACAATACCATATATCAAAAAAATATTAAGTGTTGTAAGGTATGAAATGCAAGCAATACTTATTTTATTATATTTCATGTATGATTCAGTCGAGTGTCTCATTCTGTTGGATTACTGGAGTATTTACAAAATGCGTCACAACTAGAAATAAAGTTAGAGAGGTTAGAGAGGATTCCAATTATAATGCACTGATTATTGTTTATTCGGTAATGTTACTAATCAGGAACTGTTAAATAATTGGAAAAAAAAAGAGTCCTGAGTTCAGTAATAGAATTTTTTGTAATTGACGATATTAAATACCCATTTAGAGACGTAATATTTCGAGAAAACCTAATGTTTTAAAAAAAAATAAGATAATGGCTAACATTATTGCATTTAATGTGCAATACCACAGGCACAAACAAAAGTAACGATATTATTGCATTACTTATTTTGTTAACTTAATTGCAGGCAATAAAGTAGTAGCAGTCCATGGTTTGAAATGGACTTCGCATTTTAATTGCGTGTATGTGCATGAACAAAAATTAACTTAGTGTGCAAGTAAATTAACGAAGGGTAATCATTTCTATAACGTGTCAATGCGTGAAAATGATTTGGTAAGCAAATTATTGTGATGTTTATCACTATTAGAGTTTCAGACAATATCTATAATTACTATAGGAGCCGACATTTTAGTTCTACTTCAGTTAGATCTCAGTGTCATGGCAGTTTGATCAATGAGTAAAAAACAATTTGAAACTTGAGTCGACAAGACAAACAAAAAAAAAACTTGTACATGTGTACAAGTTTTTTTTTTCCTTATCAACTTTTAATTGCGTCTGATGGTCGCCAGAAAATAAATACCTGAAAGTCACTAGACAGTAACGAATTTGCAATAAAAACATTTCAACTATGCAGCAATAAGAAACAGTAGCAAACAACATTCATGTCCTTATCAAAGGAAGTCGGGAACCACGTGGAATGCTGAGTTGTTTGCTTCGTCATCGCCGTGTTCGTTATACTTATAATATATACTTGTCGACGTTCACTCTACGAGGTGGCGTGATGTGTGACTAATAAGTACAAGCCTTAGTAAACTGCGTCTGTACTGTTGCCTAAGCAATATATACAAGATGTCTATTCACAACGCTATGCTAAATAGAAACATTTATGTAACTACCCGTTGACCGTACTCATTTGTAATCTAAATATACATTCGCAGCTAATAATTGCGAAAGTATATGTTAATTTAAAATTCTAATGTCAAACGTGCAGAATAATCTTTTGTTGTACACAGTTCAATTTTATATAACATCCAATTCGATCTGAGCACGCGTTTAAACTGTAGCGGTTATCTTTTGTATTGGTGCCGGATTAGTTTTGTAATCGGCGACGACGCGGACGGTTTCCAAGAGACGTGGGCGCGGCGGGCGCCTCCGCTGTGCCCCGCCATATATTAAGTAGATGTACGGCCGCCATATTAGTATCAGAGAAATACGTGACAAATACGGTAACACGGAGTTGCGTCTTTGACAGGCAATTGAGTGCCGTATACGACGGAGTACGAGTGTATAGAGAGTAGACGATTGCCGGGGCGTTTGTCGTTATGATTTTCGAGTCGGAATGTTCGCTGGTGCATTGAGCTTGCGCGCCAGACATTGTGGCGGCGGGCTTGGGCGCCCGCGCCGCGCCGCCAGACCATTCGGCGCCTGCGCACACAAAGGGCTCATTGTATTCCCCGCCGTCGAATTCTAAAGAAGAGTCCCTCGAATTTTTTCACCTAAATTCCTAATGCCAGAATGACACCAAACAATGGGTTTCCGTCCTTTTATTGGCACCTTATTTTTTGTCAGGGGTCCGAATGGACCTACCTAAGTTATAAATAAAATCACAACCTGTTCCGACGTCGGTGAAGTATTAAGGATTCCTTCTCACCTACTCATTATGAAGTAGGCGATACGGGAGACAATTTTTGAAACAATTTTTTTTTTATTTTATTCAATAAATTTTAATGCGTAGATAAAGGGAAAGCAATATGTTTCGTTAACAGTTATTTGTGTCCAGAACTTTTAACGGTGCATAGAAGCTTTCAAATCCAAATTCAAAACGTTTCCTTGCTTCGGCCGCTTGGTCTATGAAGCGGGCCTAAATGTGAAACATATCAATGGAATAATAGATAACTCGAAAAACTCGAAACGAAAGAATCACACTGGTGATTGACGAACGACTGTGAAACATGGCTTTTGAGTGTAGATGGCACCGGGGGTAGCGCGTTCCGCGTCGTTTAGGTGCGCCGAACGCCCACAGAAAAGGTGCGGCGTACGACAAACTGGTTTCCTCTCACCGACGCCGTCGCCGCCTGACCCGCGGCCACGTGGAAATCGCCCAGCGACTTTGTTAACGATCATTTTATAGCTAGATATTCATTACAATATTGATCATTATACTATTGATTCAATATTGTGTAAGTACAACATTATAACGCCTCACTTTATTTCATTACACTATTGCCTTATCGAATACAGAACTTGACATTATAACGAGATTGACATTATAAAGCTCGGTGCCCAAGCCCTTGCTAGTGAAGCGCACATCATAGTGCAAGTTATTATGAACTGACATTACTTTTCTTGCATCATTGCAAGGAACGTAATGTTCATTCATAATAACGAGATAGTCAAATGACGATGTCGTTATTCACTAATTAGTTGGCTTGAAACTCGTTGTGTTAACGATAAACGGATGAGTTATATTGTAATTTCGCTTTCGGGCTTGTTTCGCAATTAAACGAATTGGAATTTTCCCACGTTATCTCGAGCGCTACGTGCGAAACGCGTGGTTTTCGAACGCGGATTCAGGTATTTGAGTGATGTCAACTCAATGTAACTTTATCTACATCCGTTTGGTGCCGACGTGGGGTCCCGATGACGCAGGACTGGTGCCGTCCACCTAATCCCTCTGCAGAGATATCGATACGAAGAATTCGCGTGAACAGCAACAAGCCGCGCTGCACTCAATAGGTTTTGATTAGATTAGATCGAACAGAATGCGAAGGTTGTCCGTGCCCGCAATATTATCTTGATTCCTTTGATTGTCCCTGATATACTTGGAATTGTTTTTCGTGCTACATTAGTCGTTATCGACGTGCAATGCAACGAAAATTGTGACGCGAACCAAACGGACGTCACACGAATGGATTGGAATATACCGTTCAAAAGTACTAGATTAAGAATAATAAGCAAATAATTTCATTTTAATCCCATAAAGAAAAACAGTAACAGCTCTTATGAACATAATTATTATTCCGAAAATTCGGTAACTAATCAAGTGTAGTAGGTAAATATGTATATAATTACCACCCAAATATAAAAATTTTGCATAGCTTTACGGTTTCGTTTTTTGACTAGAAATCTCACAATCAGACTACCAACGCTCTCAAAAGACTGCTAAGGTTCAAATGAAACCCATAATTATTTATTTTACTATTAAACAGTATTGCTTTAAATATATGAGTATTAGATCTAATCTAATGTAAAAAATGTATAGTCAAATGCATCGCAATTTTGCATTGTGCATATCATGTCTCTTCTACCCGTCTATATTCCCTTTGTCTATATTTACTCGTTGTAAACGCACGATTCACAAATAAACGGCCGTGGTCCGCTGGCTAGGCGCCACCGGCTGCCGAACGCGCGCCTATCCATTGCGCAATTTACCGTTGCCCAGAAGCAACCTGCGTGCCACAACTGGCTCCGAGATACTCGTGTGTGGGAATCGCTCATTTTTTCGACACGAACCTTTAGCGCACCCAGACTATACGTGATATGCGTTCCCACCTGTTCTTAAGTGTCCACCTATTGTATTGTATTTAATGTAAATAGTTCATATCAATTCAAATGTCATTTAGCGATAGACGAAAGAATCATTTGAAGGACCGAATAAGTTAAGCCAAGATAGCTTCGACTAGACAAATTGTTGCAACTCTATCAATGCCAATAGTTATGTCTTTTTGTTTTAACATTGTCGTAACAATGTCTTATATTACATTTACATTATTAATTAATTTACTAATTAGGTATCATTGAATGTGCAATTTTTTTTTAATAAGCGGTATCATTTTGCATAGACTCTACCAGACAACCTTTTTATTTCCTTAAAGTTTCGATATTATGTTATACTATCATTTTGTTGTACTGGAGATATAATTCGCTATTTATTTTATCAAATGCATAGACGACGCATATTTCGATAGTATGGGGTTAAAATGTCGAAATTGTGTAGCTTACATGGAGTAAATCTAGAGTCGAGACATCACCGCCAAATTCCAGTAAAAATGGTTGCCATTTTCCATCAATTGGTGAGTAATGGATCTAAAAATTGATGGGAAACGACTTTTGAATTAGTTGGTGTGAAACTGTCACATAAATTAATTCGTAGGCGATTACTATCGTTCATGGTCATCCATAAGAGCTGAGGAAGCGTAACGTTCGCGGTTCTTGAAAAGGGTTACCTCACTGATCGAGAGAAAAAAATATCTTGTATCTTGTATTAACTGATGTTAACGCTTTCCAAAACTATTAAAGCTTCATCGAACGCAGAACCGGTGGGCTAGCCAGAACCCACGGGTTTGAAGCCCTCCACAGTGGGTAGGGCCGTGCATTTGCTCATTTGTTACTTAAGGAGTGTCGCCTACGGGCTATCGAGGTTCGGTGCGGACCGTGACCCCGATAGCCGTTGACTGTGCTTGGTTAGTTGGTGGCTGGGGCGGTGTAAACCACCCAGGAACGTTAGTGTACCTTGTGTACGCCTTGTGTTGGCCTCGCCGTGCTCGGAGGCGAGGGCGAACTATTGAGTTTGTTGTTACACTAACTGTGTATGTAGTGTTAACCGGCGGGACCCCCGACGGTGGGTCCGACGAAAAAAGAAATATAAATGTTTTACGTCCGCTCTGTGAGTTCGTGACACTTTACCGGCCGACTTCCTCCATTCATATTAAAGGCAGAAGTTGCGTAGTTCCATAGTGTAATTCCACAAAAAACCATTATGAACATTTTCGATATGCGCGCATGTATATAAAGGTAATCAGGGAGTAATTTACCAAAACACGAGGTTGTTATGTTGTGTTGAGCATCGGTAATAGAACAAAGGATGGGAATATAATACTTAATTTGTGCTTATTTTTATTAATATCTTAATTATGTACTGAATATAAATACAATGTATAGTATTAAATATAATGCAAATGTTTTGTTTATCGTTATAATTTCAATCCAATATTATTGTCTTCTCCATCGCTTTAAGTGTTCCAGGTTTATATTATTACTAACTAACTACTAACTAACATATAAACCTTCCTCTTGAATCACTCTATCTAGTAAAAAAAACACATCAAGATCCGTTGCATACTTTTAAAGATCTAAGCATACATAGGGACAGACAGTCAGTGGGACGACTTTGTTTTATACTATGTAGTGATATAAAATATTTTTATATGTCTTTTAATGGTATCTAAAAAAATTCTTTCTTAAAACAATTTTTTTTTGCATAATTTTTTCTAAATACTTTGCAAACTACATTTTTCATTTCGCATTAATACTTAATTGGAAAAATGAAACGATAAAACGGTAAATGAAACGATAAAACAACTGAATTGTTGCTTATCTAATAATTAACTTCACTTATAAGTTGACGTTTACGTGTAGATAGGTATAGGATGTCAACGCGCACTGGCGCACGTAGGCGCCCGGCTGGCTCCGGCAAGATACAGAATCAAGTGATATTACTGATATTACACATACTCATAGCGTTATTTGTGCAAGCGTGGCCCGTATTGTTTATTCATGAAACGTAGGCAATCTACAGGCGATCAACGAACTCTAGCCGCGCGGCGAAGGTGTTCGTTGCGATTGCGAATGCCACATTGAGAGCATCTCGTTTATGTAGGTAGCGTCTATAATGCGTTTGTGTAGCGTCAGTGTTAGTTATATGTACTAATAATTTCTACAGTTTTGTCTCAAGGTGGAATAATATAATTACTCTTACAATAGGTAGATAACTTGCAATGTTTTGTTTCACGACTATAACGAACACGTTAAAATAATCAATAGCATAGAAACAGTAATTTTTATAAAACGTACAAAACAAATAATTTTTATTTGTTCTGTTAAATTTCAAACGATTAAAGTTCAAGATATTTTCAAATCAACTTACTTAGTGAAATAACAATATAATATAATTGTAAATCATTACATATTTCGCTATAGTATCGTATACTATTTAAGGAAATATTTCTTATTAAATGTAACTAGTTTACAGATTTTATCGCGTTTTTTAATTTGATTTTGAACTCCCGACGTTTCCAGCCCCTTTATTTTAAGGATACCTATATAATTTAGTAAATATGAAAAGTATAAACATATATGACTTTGCCTTTTCTTTATTATTATATGTATATAGCTCTACATTTTTGCTGTTAATGATTTACAAATCGTAATAATGTATACTAGAATATACTTAATTATGATAGCGTTCTGGAGGATGACATTACGTTAAAGAGTGTTTTAATGAACAACGATATTATTAAATCTGTTGACGCTAAACACTCCATATATTATAATGGTTTTCGTTGTAAATGATTTCCATAGTTCATAGTGTATTGTTTAATAAAACAATTATTGGAGGACCGTTCAATGTTTTATTATATAATATAAATACAATCAAAAAAGAGAAATCCGGTAAAGAAGGGAGGTAACACCTCAATTTTAAAAATTAAGGCAGTTGAGAGAAAAAAATACTTTCATATATGAAGATTGGTTACAGAAACAACGGAAGAAAGTTTATTAAGCTATATACGTGAAGTATTAGTAGATGGCAGCTACATTACTGTAAACAAAATAAACCACAAAACAGACAGGGGCTACTCCTCCTTTAGAATTTGCGTGTTGGAAGAAAACTTTGAAAAACTATGTAACCCAGATATTTGGCCTAAAAATGCGGAGTTTAGTGAATGGATATGGTTTCGTAGATCAAACAACAGCACCAAGACCCAAACAACGCAATAAGAATATTAATATTTTATATCAAAATGTAAGAGGTTTGAGAACAAAGACTACAAATTTTCTGTCCCTTCTCGAATCATCAGGATGTGATTTATTTGCCATTACGGAAACGGGACTAAATGAATCAATTTACAATTCTGAGGTTACATTGCCTAGTTATTCGATTTCACGCTGTGATCGCGCAGATGGACGAAAGCAGGGTGGAGTTCTTATAGCGATCGCACCGAATTTGGAGATGCGCAAAATTCTGATACCTGACGACATAAATATAGACACATATAAGTTTGAATTAACCTCAGCTGCAATTTATTCAAACAGACGCTTTTTATTTATTTGTTGTGTGGTCTACA